GGGGGGGGACCTACAGGGGATGGGGGTCTGTGGAGGGGGAGGGACCCCGGGAAAAGCTGCTCAACAGGGGGAGGGAGCTGGGGTGGTTGGGGACAGCGGCCCTATGGCCGGGCCCTATAGGGGATGGGGGCTGTAGGGATGGGCTATAGGGGGATCGGGAGCTATAGGGCTTGGGGAGCTATAGGGATATGAGGGGGCTGTAAGGGATGGGGGGCTATAGGAGAAGGGGGGGCTGCAGGGGATGGGGCTGTAAGGGATCGGGAGGGGGGGGGCGGCCCGGGGGGGGCCGGGGGGGCCCTGTGGGACCCTCTGGAATGACCCCCCTGCAGGATGAGCCCCCTAAAGCATCCCCGCGCGGCCCCGCCCCGCCCCGCCCCCGCGCGCTCACATCCGGCCCCGCCCCCGCCCCGCCCCTCCCAATCCAAACCCCTCTGGGTGGGCGTGGTCTCGTGGTGACGTCATCACCAGTCCCGCCCCCGGCTCTGCAGAGGGAAGGGGCGGGGTCTTGCGGGGTGTGGTCGGTGACGTCACCGCGGACAGAGACACCCGAAAAAAGAACCCCTGGGGCGCCCCTTCTCCCCCTCCGAGGCTGCCCCTCCCCGGGACCCCCCTCCTCCCCTCCCCTCGGGATTTCGCTCCCCCACACCCCCCCAGGCCGTCGGGGGCCGCTTCAGTGCCGGGTCTTTATTAGGGGGAACGGTCGGGGGGAGGAGCCAAGCGCGTTTCGGGGGAAATCCAGGCGAGTTTGGGGTCCGAGGAGCGTCCCACGAGGTCATCGGGAGCCTCATTCCTCTGGGGGGCGGGAGGGGGGCAGGGGGTAAATGGGGGACCTCGAATCCGAGGGCTACCCCCCTCCCCCCCCAGGGACCCCCGCTGACCGTCGGGGGGGCAGGGCAGGACGTGCAGGCAGGGCCGGGTCTCCTCCAGGCGCAGCCTCTGCCCCAACAGGGGCTCGCAAAGCGGCCTCGGCGTCCCCCAGAACGTCACGTTCCTGCTCCCGCTGCTGCCCACGTTTGTCACCGTCAGCCTGCGGGGGACACCGTCAGCCCGGGCCCCACGGCCTCACAGACACCCCACAGGGACCCAGAGAGACACCACAGGGACCCCAAAGAACCTCCATAGAGACCCCGAAGAGACCCCATAGGGACCCTATAAAGACCCCAAAGAAACCTCACAGAGATCCCCTAGAGCTCCCAAAGAGCCCCCCAGAGACCCCCAGACACTCCATAGAGACCCCCCAGTACACAGAGCCCTCCTGGCCCCACAGAGGCCTTATAAAGTCCCCCTGGCCCACAGAGCCCCCCCAGCCCCACAAAGCTCCCCCAGACCCCCCCAGCCCCTCACGCACTTGTAGGAGGGGTAGGTGGCCTGACACTCCCGGCTGCGGCTCCGCATGGGGCTGGTCCCACACGGGGGGGTGCAGAGCCCCCAGGGGCTCCAGTCTGACCAGTTCCCACGCACTGGGGGCACAGGGCAGCGTCACCCCCCGCCCCCCGCACTATGGGGCGGCTCTGGGGCAGCTCCAGAGCTCCAAACGAGCCCTGTGAGACGGCTCCGGGGCAGCTCTGGGGTGGCCCCGGGGGGCGGGGGTCACTCACGGAGGCAGTTCTGGATGTTGTAGCAGGCACGGACGTGGATGGTGCCGAGCCCCTCCTCGGCGGGGCACGAGGGCCCCCCCTGGCCGTGCCCCACACACGCCCGGGTGCGCCGCTGCTGCCCCACCGTGCTCTTGCAGGCGATGGACTCCCAGAGCGGGCGGGTGCAGGGGCTCCAGGGGCCCCACGGCCCCCAGTGCAGCACCTCTGAGGGGCACGGGGGGGGTCAGCGGGGCCCCTGACCCACGTGGAGGGGCATCGTGAGCAGGGAATGGAGGGTGGGGTGAGTGCCCCACAGCGAGGGCAGAGATGTGGTGACCCCACAGCAAAGGGGAGGGGACCCGCGGTGCCCTGAGGGTGCCCCATGGCAGTGGGGTGGGGGAGCCCCCGTCCCCTCTTCGAGCCCCGCCCCTGAAGGCCAAGCCCCGCCCCAGGACTTGCCCCGCCCCATGTCACATTTTCCCAGGCCACGCCCCTCCCCGCTGGAGCCCCGCCCCCTCAACCAGAGCAGAGCAGCAGTGCCTGCCCGGGCCCCGCCCCCTCCAACCCCCCCCTCCAAAGCCACGCCTTTCCAAATCCACACCCATCTCCAGCCTCGCCCCTCCAAAACCCAACCCCTTGAAGCTCCGCCCCTCCAGAGCCCCACCCTCACAGACCCCGCCCCTTCAAAACAAAGCCCACCCCCCAGGGGCCCCGCCGTCGAGGCCCCGCCCCAATTGGCCCCGCCCCATTTGGCCCCGCCCCATTTGGCCCCGCCCCATTTGGCCCCGCCCCATTTGGCCCCGCCCCTCACCCGGGCAGGCCCCGACGGGCCCGCAGACCCCCCGCCGGGTGTCTTTTCCTGCGCAGGCGCGGCCGCCGTGCTGGGGGGGAGGGGCGTCGCACGCGCGGCGCAACGTGACCCCGCCCAGCCCGCACGTGACCGGGCAGGGCGTGGCCGCTGACCACGCCCCCCACGCGCCGTCCACTGCGGGAGGAAGGGGCGGGGTCAGGACCGTCAGGCCACGCCCCCCCTCGCGGGGGGCCACTCAGGGGTGGGGGGTCCCGGGGGGGTCTGGGGGTCCAGGATGTCCCGGGGCAGTCTGGGGGTGCCGGGGGTCTCACCGGGGCAGGGCTGCAGCCCCGGGCACTCCTGGCTGTCGGTGGCGCTCCCGGCACACGGGGCCCCGGGCGGGTCCCTCGAAGGCGATGGTGAATCACAGTGGCGCTCGCGGCTCCGCCTCGGCTTCGGCCCCGCCCCCCAGCACGTGCCAGAACAGCCGCCCCACGGGCCCCACGAGCCCCAGGCCCCGCCCACTGCGAGGGGGCGGGGCTCAGTCCCATCCCCCACCCCCACGCCCTCACACCTCTCCCCCACCCCCGGCCTTTCCCTCCCCCCTGCCTCCCGCCGCTACCCGTTCTGCCCTTCCCCCACCCCCTCCCACCCCTCCCCCTCCTTATCCCACTCCACTCCAACCCCTCCCCCCTCCC